CCTAGCCGCAGCGCTCGGCCCAGAAAGTGTCTTAGATAACCTAACCCGTGGTCGCAGCGCTCGGCCCAGAAAGTGTCTTACCCCAACCTAACCTAACCCTAAATAATAATAAATAAATACTAATTTGGTCATGTACAAAATTGATAGGAGGTGGGGGGGCCTGGGGGGGTCCAAAAATCGTTCATTAGGACAGAACCAATCTTTTGCAATTCCCTATTGGAAATTTTAATAGTTTTACGTGTTATATTATAAATATTATTATTATTTATAGCATGTGGTTACAATGTTAAATTAGCCAACCTATATATAAATTTGGCTTGTCTGTTTGGGTGTCTGTTTGTTTGTTTGTGTCCTATAAACGTCAAAACGGCTGAACCGATCTTGCCCAAATTTTGTGTGGGATTTCACGTGACCCCAGGGAAGGTTTATGAATGATCAAAATTTTAAAAATTTGTGTTGAATAGTTCTCTATTTCTTAAAAGTTTGAAAATGCGCAAACAAATATTATAAAATCCGCAAACATTATTTGCTTTTGTTTTATACTGTACAAAGAGAAGATGCTCAGAGATAAAGTCACAGTTAAAAGTTGAAATAGAAGATGGGCAATTTGTTCATGCTTCTTATATGTACCAAATGGTTGAGGTTGGACATGTGGCCACAGTGCCCCAGCTACCCAGCCTGTCCAAGCTTCACTGCACGTCCTAGTAATAATCCTAACCTAACCCTGAAATAATAAAAAACAAATATTAATTTCATGGTGAAAATTGTAGTTTAAATAGCATATAATAAAATATTGGGGGGCGGGAAGGGGAGGTGTCCAAAAAAGCTGATACTAGGACTGAACTCTTAATTCATCAATTTTACTTTTATCTAATTTGAAGCATATTATCTAATAATGATTTATAAAATGTATACACTTCTACGACATTTCAAAATAATTTTTTAAAATGTAAGACAGGTTTATTAACTAAAAAGGAATTTAATTAAATATCATAAATATCATAAAAAATGGATTTGATAATTATAATTTATAATAATTTTTTAAGGTTTATATGATGCCGGGTTCTATGCTAGTGCCCGTCCTTCGCAGGGGGACTGGGCTCATTCATCATATCAGATGGGTGGGACAGAGAAATTTAGAGAAATGGGCGTGTCTATACTCCAGCCTGAGCGGTTGGATGCCCGAGTTTAACTATTTAAAGTTTTATCATGGCCAGTTTTCTTGGTCTTTGTCACTTTTGTGAATATCATGGACCAACAGTTGTTATGCTGACACAGTCGCTGAGACAAGACAGGACGGAGGGAATCTGTGCCGGCGACAGCTGTCCGCTGTTTACATGTGATGAAGATGTTCTGGAACCTATAGAATTGACAGGTTCTTGTCATTTTACAAATTTGGATTTTTATTCGGAAAATCTGGCCGAGGTTTATTTTATGTTTTTTATCATTGAAATAAGACTTCTAATCTTAAGGTGTAAGAAGTGGGACATTACACCGATTTAAGATAATATAATTTTATCCATCTTTTTATGAAAGGTGTCTTGAAGGGGTAATTCCTTAAAAATGTAATTTTTGTATTAAAACTAAACTGATCTAATCCTAGATGAATCTCTGTACGGAAGGAGAATGATACTGAGAGGATTAAGAGAAGGATCTGGACAGAGTGGGTGTAGTGGATGCTGGTCCCTAGGTCCAGCAAGAGGAGCAATATTCTCATCAGATACCAGTTCATCTACTTCATACATTAGTTCACAGGTTTAGTCTATAGTTTTACATTTTGTTGTCATAACTTTTGTTTGAAACTTTTTAAATTTCATGAGCTGGATCCCTCAATTTTCGTTATCCCTGCCATGGGTTTTGATCCTCTGCACAACAAAGGAGACAATTGCTTAGTTATGGATTCACAGCACAAAAGTTTTGACCTCTGTTTATTGGTATTTTGTTTCGTATTTGTTGAACTTACTCTGGATTTTTATCCATAATGAAAACTTATACCCTTTCTTATTGTAAAATCCTTTATACCTTCTCATTATCTTTTCAAATGTATTGAATGGGTTTTTTTCCTTTTTAAATAGCTTTGCATGAATTTTTTCATCACGTCTTGATTGTTTTAAAGGATTTGATTTTAATCTGAAATTTTCCAAGAATTTATATTTAAAAATCTATTTAGAATGGACTAGGTCCTGTATCTAAACAAGCACGTGATGCTGCAGTGAAATCTATAAGGAAAGGAGAAATATTTAAGAAATGTCTCCAATTAGATTTGCATTGTCTATAAAGGAATTTGAAGTATTCAAACTGTTTTTCCTTTTTTACTTTTATAAAACTATTCTCCTGCAGCTGTGAGGTTTTGCCAAACAAAACTGGTTCCATGATGTTTACAAACAACCAGGCGACGACGATAATGTCGGAGACATTCTTCCTTAAGGACTCCACTGCGCGGGGGCTACAGCGCTACTTCAGTATTATACTTGGGAACAAGGAGAAGGGGTTCATACTTAGATCTTTCACAGAGATTCAACAGGAAATATTATTGAGATTTCCATTACTATTCAGTCAGATTAAAGTAAGAAATGCACAATTTATATCGGTACCTCTTCACTGATCAGTGATCATCGTGGGAAGAGAAACCCGTGTGCTTATCTTCAAAATGGTGTTCGAATTGTGTGCAATGTGAACTTAACACAGCTGTCTTCAGTCATTACTCGAAAATCCAGAATATTCAGTGTGCAATATTGATTTTCCGCCGCTAGAAAGTAAATATTAAACATTTCGTTTTTGAAAAACATCTTGCGAACTACAAGCGTTGTTGAATATGAAGAAGGACAAGTCTAACATCCTTAATTAGTCAAAATTTTTAAGGGTACTGTTGTGAATCGGACATAATCTTAACATAATTTTTTAAAGATTAAAAATCCGTCTTTGCATTCCTTTGTAATCTTAATAATATTGATTTAGAAACTTCGAGAATTGATACAAATTTTGTGTGAGAAATGTGATTCTAACTTTATTGTTGAAACCAAAGGATCAAATAGTAAAGGTAGTTTTTACTAGGAAAGTTACATCGGGATCCATTCTTTTTTACATCTTAACAATATTTATTCCCCTTAGGCGTTACTTTTACTTCTGAGGTATTATTTGTTGAATCGGGAATACAATTGTTGGGGAAAATAAATGAATTTTTTGGGTATGAAGTATTAAAAGGATAAATTGCCTTTTGGTGTCCATTTTTGTTTATTTTTGTTCCTCTAGACCATTAAAAATTATCCGGGGATAATTTAATTTTGAAAATATATATCCCTGAACTAAACTCAATTTAATTTTTCGATTTTCTAGAGTTTTGTGAGAAACGATTTCGTAAAAGACACGAGAATAATGAACCCGCCAGGAACCTGTCGGAGCTGGTCTCCGATCCTTCCTTATTTCTCTTCATCCATAGACATTTCTCTCGTCTGCTCAACCTCCTGGAGACAGGAACTACGGAGAAGGCAGTTGTCGGCCAACCTGTGAAAGTTAGTCCTGTTCTAGAGGAGACAAGGATATTATCCTTCCTAAACATTATCAATGGTTTGGAACCTAGTGCGGGACGGTTACTTATCTTCTCTCTCCTAGCTGGAAGAACACTTGAGATACGTAGCTCAACCAGAGAAGTTGGAAGAAGGATTGCTGATGCTTTGTCTCTAATCCTGCCGAATAACAAGACCAGGGACGTTACTTACTTCGCCAATGTTGTTTTAACTCGTACTGAAGGAAACGGTTTCAATCAGACGCTTGAAGTGAATAATCAAGGATGTTTTTCCTTCACCAGTATCCGGTGTAAGTGTGAAGAAAATGTAGGCAATTGTTCTGAATGTTCGACCGTGAGCAATAGCACTGCTGTTCAACGTATGATTAATGTTGCTAAATGTTGTGAATTAAACAGTTGCACAGTGCATACGAGCATACTCGCTGCAGTTGAGGGTATACTAGCTCACGCTAAGGTTTGGAAAAGGATCGGATCGGGGGCTGACAAGAGAACGTTTCTTCGACGTCTAGGGTTCGGATTTTCTGATGCAGAAATATTGAATTTTTTTCAGATCTTCATTAGTTAGTCTTCCGCTTTATACTATATATATATTTATTTTTGTATAATAATATCAACGCTTTCTACTCTGGTGCTCAGTAATAAGAAATAATCATGCATAAAACATGGAATATATATTTGTGATTTAATTTTTGCAATGAACCAATATATGAATAATTGTATTGTTACATCGATTTATTATGCTTTTATTTTATCAATAACTTAAGCTATTTTGCATTTTAAATTAAGCTTGTATAATTGAAATGAATTTATTATTTTATTTCGCAAACCTGAAGTCTAGTCGAATTAATTTTAGCTTTAATAAATTTTTATATATTTATATTTGTTCAAAGTGCAAACCTTGGTATTTCAGACAGAATGTTGTTAAAACAGTTACAACTAGTTGTACTATCCGGTCTACTGGCCGTCGTATTGACGGAAGAAGAGAGTGGAGAGGGGGAGGGGAACTATAAAATCGAGGGTAAATTAACCCCACCTGACGTTAAAAGTTTGAACTGGGTTTCTGATGTTAGCATAATCCTGGACGGGGGGAAGAGAAGGACTTTTCTAAACGAAGACAACAGCTTCTCTATACAGGTATTGACGCAATGGTGCAGCAATTATTGTATGTAATACGTAGTTGTTAAATCAAGATAAGTGTCAAAGCTATTAAGTATGATTTTTTTTATATCAATTTAAAGGAACTAACATTGTGATTTCAAGGGACCTTCCATTTATAGAGGGTATGCCCAATTTACAACGGTATAACCCATCAACAAGGTGTAAGATATCGTCGTTTTCTTGCGTGAGAACTTTTTATTTCTAATAATCTTCTTATTCTCTCTGAAGCAGAAATGCGCAAGTCACTTTTAAAATCGCTACTCAGGAGTAACTTGAAAAAGAATTTTTATGTGCGATATCTATTTAGAAGATCTAGGATGAGGTTTAATCGCAGATTATTTTTTGAATAGAATTTTTTCAAGTACAATGGAAGATCTTTCTCAGATTCAGGTGTTTTAATAAAAATGTTTCAACCCTGGAATTCTATTATGGGGGTGTGAATTGTTATTCAAAGCAAAAAGTTTAAAACTTGTACTTTGTTTGTAGGGAGTAGGATCTGGAAGCTATCTACTGGAGGTAGAGCACCCAGACTACATGTATGAACCTGTGAGGGTCGACATCAACTCCAAGGGGAAGCACAGGGCCCGTAAGAACAACCAGGTTCAGCCTAGTCAGGTTTGTACTCATTTCTCAATATGACTCTTCACAGCATTTTTCAATCAACATTAAATGTTCCTCTAAAAGATTCAGGGTTTTAAGACAATGTATTTAAAAAATGGCCGTCATCGAGTTTTTGTTTTGTTATAATCTTATTTTATCTTTTGGTTTTACTAGAATTTTTTTATTGAACCGTATTCCTTCTTTGGACAATTTTAAAACTTTCACAGTAGATTGTAATCAACTCCTTCATCTTTTCAACGTTTTAATGGACTATAAGCGAACCTCCATGCAAAAATGACAATGCCTGATTCATCCGGTACCCTTGAAACCTTTATCTGATCAATAATGTATGAGACATTGTCGTTTTTCTGGGTTAAAAGTGTTTAATTCTGATAATTCCTGTTTGTTTTCATGCAACAGAAATGCGCAATTCCCTTGTGTAGAGAAAACAAAGTTGAAAATAATCGTGCATTGCTATTCTTGCATGGAGGGTCACTACGCTAACAGTCCCTTTAATGTTTATTGTTAAGGTTACTCAGCTACCGTATCCTCTACGAATGAAACCGCTAGGACGTTTCCGATATTTCCAGCAGCGTGAAGAGTGGAAGGTGACAGATATTCTCTTCAATCCGATGGTCATGATGATGGTTCTACCCCTTCTCCTCGTCACAGTTCTACCCAAGATGATGCAGGTCAGAGTCCTGGAGGAGGGGGAATTTTGTTACCCTAATATTTATTTGTTTTATTTGAACACTAATTTATAAAAAGCAGTAAACACTAGAAATCAAACATTAAAAATCAATTTTTACCAAGTGCTCATGATATTTTGCAAGGAGGTATCTGACAAATTATAATTGATATCATTTTATATTTTCATCCCCATCGGGTTTTGTTTTATGGAAATCTCATTTGGTTACACTAAAAATGTGTTTACAGAGAGCTAAAAGTTTCTTCGTTTTCTTGTTAAAATTTTGCTATTGGATTCGGATCCGTGGATCCATATATTTGTACGGTTCCGGATCTGGATCCATGGAGCTAAAATGTTTCGGATTCAATGACTCCGGATCCTAACCACTGCTTGACACTATATATTGCAGGACCCTGATACAAAGAAGGAGATGGAAGAGATGCAGGCTAAGATGAGTGTTCAGAATCAAATGCCCGAGGTTTCAGAGCTTTTTACAAACTTCTTCGGTGGCGGAGCTCAGCCGAAGAAAAAACCGGCGATTCGTCGGAGATAGTTTTCTGCTTCTAGCTGGACAAATATTTTAATATTTTCTTTAATTTTTTATTTTCCTTTAAACCATTGCGAATTTTGTGTTACATTCAAGAAATCGGGCAACCTAGTTCTTTGGGTATTATTGTTGGGTAATATCCAAATTTGATTAGTTGGTTATAATTATCTTTCAAATACTTCTATGTTTAGTTACTCAATATTTTGTATGTTTTTAGGTATAATGTAATCTTTATTAATTGTTTCTAAACTTTTCAGTAAATTCTAATCTTTGTTGTAATTATTTGCACGATGTAATCAAGTACTTTTTTTTCGATTAGGATTAAACAGTTAACACTAGTCTTTGATTGTTCATTTGTTTTTATTAATTGTTTCGTAGTTTCAGAAAATATGAGTTAGTCAACTACATTGGTACAATGGTCTCTGCACAAAACAAACATACCTTTAAAGAATAGAGAAGTTTTGAATATTTATCAAATATTTTTGCGGAAAAGGACTTTTTACCCGCGGATTTTATCGACATGTCGCACCTGCTGGACGAACCTGTTAAGAAATTAGATTTATCCCTGTCAGAAACTCAATATCACAGGGAAGGATGAAATATTAATAAACTATTTATTATCAATTCAAAGAAACTAACATTGTGATTTCAAGGCACCTTCCATTTAAAGAGGGAATGCCCAATTTAAAACGGTATAACCCATGAACAAGGTGTAAGATATCGTCGTTTTCTTGCGTGAAAACGTTTAAATTCTATTAATCTCCTTATTCTCTCTGAAGCAGAAATGCGCAAGTCACTTTTAAAATAATATTGAAATAAGAAGACAAGATGATGGACATTTCGTGCATTCTGGATCAGAAAGGTTTAAGGATATCGTTGTGACATGCTACGCTGAAAATAACAGTTCTCACTTGAAATTACGTAATTTTCCACTGTTTTCATACAATAGGCAAAATTGCCTATAAAATCACATTTTCCATTAAAAACGGCAAACATCTTTACAAAAATGTTGAGATGAGAAAGATTCACTTCAAGAAACTTCCCTTTATTTTTTCCAATCAGGAAATTAACCATATTAACATTTATCCTTGGATAGAGAGATTGGAGCAGGAGTCTTGAACCCGGAGACTAAACTCGAGTACGCCAAGAACCTCGCTAGATCTCCGTTTCAGGTAATCACCCATCAATCAGGAATACTAGGTCCTTCCAGGCGGCTTTGCGCCACTTTTTAAATAACAATTTTTAATTCTAATGTTGTTGGTTTTCTTTCTATTATTTTTTCTGTTTTCATGAAGGGATTTCCAAGTTTTTAAAACTTTCCTTAGACAATTTTTCCCAATCGGTTCACCGCCGTTTGGACGTTAATTCAATCCAAAGAAACAAACTACTTCTCATGAAATAAAAATGTGAGGTTCATTGTTGAGAAAAGCCCAAAAAATTGTTCAAAAAATAAAATTTTTGATTTAAAGATAATTTTTTCTTTCCAAAAATGAAAAATGGTAATCAATGTCTCATACAGGACATGACAACTGTTTAAACTCACTCCCCCTGTATTCCAGGGAGATATTCAGAAAGGGTTAAAGCTGCTGGAGGAGCTGTTCTTCTCTAGTCAGGAGATTTGTGATCAGGACTGTTTACTCCATCTTAGTGTTGGTTAGTGTAGGATCAGTTGACAGAGTTGTTGTCCCAGATATACAGGAGTAGAACTAGTTCTATACTACTCTCTCATATTATACCACATTCCTATTGGAAGAAATAAAATACTATTATCTATACTCAAGACATAACAGATAAATGGTCTACACCTAGGTCCCAGATATACAGGAGTAGAAATAGTTCTATACTACTCTCTCATATTATACCACATTCCTATTGGAAGAAATAAAATACTATTATCTATACTCAAAACATAACAGATAACTGGTCTACACTTAGGTCCCAGATATACAGGAGTAGAGCTAGTTCTATGCTTGTCTATTCCTAGAGTTACACAGAATATCACCTTAGTGACTAGTTCATGAAAATTGTATTAATTTAAATGTTAATGTTTTACCAAGATTTTTGATTGAAGTGGCAACTTTATTCTTTTGCTGACCTTTCTTTTTTAAAGCTTTTAGTTCACGTCCCTTGTAATTTATCAAAATATAATAGGTTTATAAACAATTATTCGTATGCTAAGAATTCAGAATACAGAGTNAGAGCTCCGGGGCAAGCAATAGATATATCCAGTCTTAATAATATCAAGCCAATCCAACCTATCCGGTTATGTTCCACTAAACCGGAGAAGGTGGAAACCTTCGCGTCCTTGTTCCGATCCTGCAAGTTTACCCAGATGGGGGACCCGGTGGGGAAGGTGGTTGTAGGGAAGATTTATCATATTGTCGAAGAAGATCTGTATATTGATTTAGGACTTAAATTCCCCTGCGTCTGCCAGAAACCAAGGTAAAGACGACAGAAAATTTTCCCCATGTTCATTGTTCATCTTTGCTTAACGGTAATCTTGGTCTTGGTCACATCTTCATTTGTTTTAGCAATCTCTATGACATTTTGCATTTTGGCATGCGCACATTAATTGTGCTGTATTTTTATAAATGAGATGAAAAAGAGATCAAAATTTTCATAGTTTTTCCTCTTTTTCTTTGTTTTTATAAGCTTTTTTCGACGAGACTTCTGCAACAAGGACAAGCGAGGGGTTTTATATACGCACCTGTAAATCAAGATACTTATTACCAACAGTAGGGTTTTCAACTCAAATCGATTTCCCCCCTTGTTATTAATAGTAGAATCGAACACGAATTAACTTTTTCTTGTGAAAAATTAAACACAAATGATTATATTCAATGTTTTTAGGGATAGCCGGGAGAGGTTTACTCGTGGTTCTGAGGTTCTGGTTCGGATTAATAGTTTAGAACTCTCTCAACGTTTCCTGGGATATGATCAAGATTTAACCCTGCTGGAAGCAGACGGTCATCTAATAGGACTTAAAAAATAAATTTAATGTTTTAGATAAAAATGAATCCCTGTGAGGAGGCAATATTGTCCAGTATAAAAAGGAAATGATATATCAAAGAAAGGTTCAAATGAATTCAATCTGTTTTGTCCTTTTTTATATTATATACTAATACATCTGCTGTATAAAAATGTGTTGTTTAGTTGTTTAATTTAAGCCCTTCTTAGATCCATAGAGTCCGGATGTCGCAATTTCAAGTGAACCTCCATTGAAATAGGGCTCATAACGTTTTCATTAATCATTTATCTGATCAATAATGTTCAAGTGAACCTCCAATAAAATAGGGCTCATAACGTTACCCATTAATCATTTATCTGATCAATAACGTGAACGAAATCGTTGTTTTTCTAGCTTGGAAAAGTGTTTAATTCCAAAATTCCTCCATTGTTTCTATTGCAGTAAATCAGCAAGACTATTGTGAAAAAAAAATCAAGGAAGAAATCATGGAAATTGTATATCACATTCATTCATGACCGTTGTGACAATCGAACATTGCATTCTAGAAATATGAGAGTCACTTGAAATTACATTCAGTCTTTTAAAAAAAAAATCACTGATATATTTCCTCAGTACTGAGCTGAAGTTCTATACGAACAATAGATTAGCGGATACTAGAAGTTTATCTCTTGCATCGTCATCACCCTGTCGAGACAATACCCTGGAAACAAAACTGATTGTAGAGCAGCAATCTTGTCTCAGATTAAATGTTAACAAATCAAAATCTTTTGAGAATTCTAGCGATCCTCCATGGAAGAAGAAGAGAACCTTGTCAGATGTAGAATATTCTGCAGGCTTGACAGAACCACCGGTTCCAGATAAGCAGTTGGAGCAGCTGGAGGAGCTGGAGCAACTGGAGCAGGAACAAGATTTCAATTGGAATCAAGAACGAGGACAGCAGGATGAGATGGGTAAGGAGGATCAAGAGCAAAATGAGAACATCGAACCGGTTGAAAGTATTGAGCCTGGAGTAGAAACTGTAAATATATCTGAACCTGTGTTAGATTATCGGAGTAATATTTTTTTAGAAGGTTCGGATATCAGAGAAGTTTCAACAGAATCCACACAATGCTACAAAACGGAGTCAAATTATTTAAGAACAGGTGTGAAGAGGTTTTTAATTTTTTCCTTTAATCGCTAGAGTTAAAAACTGTTATGATCTATCCACATATTTATTATTAATTTTAGGAATGGAATGGAATAATGATGTAAGATTTTATATTAAAATTTTTATTTTCTTTTTCTTTTACTAGATGAAGTACCTGATGGCTTTGAAGATATATTTGATTTCTCGCCAACACTTCCAGATTTAGTTTCCTACTCCACAACCAGCTTTGGGAACTACTGCACCAAGGGGTGTTCCTGGTTTCCGTCGGGGAACAAGATTCTGGTTCCATGCGAGGACGCAAGGTTAGGAAATCATTTTAGGTTTAATAAAGCTTGATTTGGCAATTTTTTAAATATTTAAAACAAATGTTCTTCAAAAGCCAAAATTGCGCGACACAAAAAAACCTTAGTTAAACATTAAGTAAAAACTATTAGATGAGAATTTACTCACACCTTTTTCTTTTCCAGGTTCAGGATATTTGATGTTGAAGATGGTGGAGAAGATATTGATCCATGTGGATCTATAAAAGAGACGGAGATGATTTACGATTACTGTTGGGAGGGAGAAGGTTCAAGATTCCTGAGTACAGGTCGGTATCAACCAATCCATCTGTGGGATCCGACACGCGAAGAACTGGTCGCAACCTATAAATGTTTCAACCACCTGGATGAAATAGCTCACTCATTCTCCCTCTGCATGATACCGTCGGGAGGAAAGTTCTTGACAGGCCTGAAGAATCAAGTTAGAACGTATGATTTATCCCGACCTGGTCGGGATTGTGATATTAACGTGACAGGAAATAAGTCTGGAGAAGGACTAGTTGGGATAATCTCCAGTCTCAGTGTTAACTCCGATATGAACATGTATGCGGCGGGGAGTTACAGTAAAACTGTTGGATTGTATAGTTTAACCGGTTCTAGAATATGCTTACTAGCCGGACACAGGGGCGGAGTAACTCAGGTCAGTCCAATGTATACGAACTAAGGGAACATAGCATTTTCCTTGAACTCAATTGTTCAGTTCCTTTGGTAATTTTTGTTATTTAAAAGCAGATATTCTTAAAAGAATGGACTCAGTTTATAAAGAGCACTTTGTTAAACTCGTTTTTTCAGGTTTCCTTTAGTCCTGATAACCGGAGACTATACAGCGGAGCAAGGAAGGATGATGAAATATTATGCTGGGATATCAGAAACCCAGGACATTTACTTTACTCTCTCCAACGTGAGGTTTCAACCAATCAAAAGATAGGATTTGATTTCGCTGGAAATCACATCGTCTCCGGTGGGACTGATGGAAGTGTGCGGATATGGGATTCTCTAGGTAGATTTTTAATGATTTTGAAATTTAAATGAACGTTTCTTAGTAAATTCAAAAGCAAAATCCTGGTTTCCGTTTGATAATTATGTATTTCTTAATTTTTTACTTAAACAAATTTGTTTAGGAGAAATTGTATCTGGATACTTACTCCATCCGGATTCAGTTCCAGGACTAAGTGTTCATCCGACCCTGCCTCTGATAGCAACCAGCTCTGGACAGAGACACTCCGATCCTAAATTAACCTTCGACGATGTTGACATTGTCATCGAAAATTCCCTAAAAATCTGGAATTTTTCAAAGAAAAGACGTGGAAAACTGTGATAAATTTATTAATTAAAACTATGATAAAGATCCTCAATCTTCCTGTGATTGGTTTCAGACAAATGTTGGTTCACGCTACGGACCGCGGGACGGAGTTGGGTAAACTTCGCCAGGATCAGGTTCTAACTGATGTTATCCTAGTCTCCGATGATACCGAGATACATGCGCACAAACTTCTCCTCTCTCTACACTCATTTTACTTCAGGAACAAATCCCACAATTTTTTTTCTTCTTTTTTTCTATTTTTTTTTAAAGTTCTGACCGTTTTCACAGGATTCAGGTCTCTAGCTTTTAAAAAGTAAACTGAAATCACTCTTCATACCTGTTAAAATAATATTGATTCCTCAAACTGTAAAATAGAATCTTGATGGCGCCCCCTAGCTAGAAATAGAGCAGGGAGCTGTTTGACGATCTCTTGCTTCTTTATCTAACTGGATTTGATTTAAACCCCTGTCAATAGCAGTTTATCTTTTCAATTCGCTGTTCAAATAAAGAATAGATAGGATCACAAGCCTGGAGCTTTAAAAACACTTTAGGCGCACTCTAGTGTACAGTGTAAACACAGTGGATAATGAAAATGTATGAATGTAGAATTTGGTTTTTTAGAACGTTGTTCCAATCTACAGGGTTTTCAGAGTCAGAATCAGACAGGGTACATATTTCAAGGTGCATTATATAATAGAATTAATCTTAATAATTTGAATTACAAAACATTCTTATTTAAGAAATTTTTCGTTTCATATTTTATTTTATCTTAAAAACATTTAAATTTTATTAGTGTTCCGAGTGATGTACTGCATGGATTGATTGACTATATATACACCGGAAACCTGTTCCTGAAAACCGGTTCTGACCGGGTTGACACTGCCCTACTCTACCTACAAGCAGAAACTCTATTACAGCTTAACGATCTCAAACTCAGGCAGGGAAATCATGAATGCAAAAACAAAAGTTACATTTACTTTCGGAGCTCATATAGAATTTTTTCGGCTCGGCCTCCGTTGGGGACTGAATCCCCCGGAAGTCACTTGTCCAGGCGGGGGAGGGGGCAAATCCCTTATAGCCCCCCCCCCTCATATAAACGGCAAACGACCCTGATTCACATGTTCGAATTATGTTACGTAATTATGATTTCTAATCCTGACTTCAGAAAAAAGCTTGAAACTATTCTTATCTCCGACCTGAATGAGAACGAGAGCCTGGAGAACCTGCTCCGACACTGGAACCACTCCGTCCTCTTTGATCTTGAAACCTTGATGAAAAATCTGGAGAAAATTCTAGACCTTAAATTAGAATTGTTCATGCAGAATAGAGAGAACAGAAACCTTTTTTCAATGCTTGGATTTGAGGTAAAAAGAAAATGTGCTTTTTAGACCGGTAAAGAGTGAACCATAAATGAAAATAATTTAAAGAACTTGTTTGTCTTTGCATTGAAGAGTTATGAGAGTGTTTAAAGTTTACTACACGATATCTCAACATATTTCTGAAAGTGTTCAATTTTTGTTCGGTCGGATCCTCAAAATATGTGGATCCCAGGATCCGGATCCCTAAAAGTATGTGGATTCCATGATCCGGATCCTCAAAAATATGTGGATCCCAGGATCCGGATCCTCATAAATATGTGGATCCCAGGATCTGGATCTTCAAAAATATGTGGATCTAAGGATCCGGATCCTCAAAAACATGTGGACCTTAGGATCCTGATCCTCATAAATATTTGGATCCCATGATCCGGATATATTGGTTTCAAAGACAAAACATTGAGTTTCTGCCAAATCAAATATGTTTTGTTTCCTCCAATGTCTTTAAAATATTTATGATGAAAAAGTTTTAAAAATGCAAAACTTTAAAAAGCTATGCTTGAATTAGTTGTCTGAGTCCTGATTTTAATTCATATCAAGGAGATGAATCGGATACTATCGAGGAGAAGTATCTGTGTTAGGTCAGAGCTCTCCCTTCTCAACCTTATCCTGGGGTGGGCGGAGTCAAATATATCAGATACCGAGGATTATATATTCCTAGCTCGCCTACTCAACCTGACATATATAGATAGGAGAACCGTACTAAACAAGGCAAGGGTGTGTCTCCTTTTCTTTTTTGAAATAAACAAAAAAAAAGGATAAGAAAAGGAAAAAATCGCTCAAATACTTTGTTAAAAATTGACCCAGAAATAAAAAAACGGTGTATGATAAATCAAAAATGAACGAAAATATTTAATAGAAATAAAGCTATAAAAGAAAACACACTCCTGTTCCAAGGTGACCAAACTGTTCCCTGATTTCAATTCTACCCTTTGCTCAAACCAGGAGTCCAGCCTTAGATCCTGTGACAGATTCTACTACTTGGTGGAGTACAAGCTTAGCAAGTCCCAGCTCAGGAATATCGAAGATTTTGTGGACAAGGGAGAGAAGAGCGGATTCTATAGTATAAGTTTGCCCAGCGGATCATGTAACAAGGTTCAAGAGATCACAAGCGCGTCCTCTCTTTGCGGAACCTGTAACGGAAACTATTTCAGACCTGTCACTCAGGTTCTTTCTTTTAATCTAGAAAAAATTTAATTGTTGTTGCGTAAAAGACAAAATTTAAGAATCGAAGGTTAACAAATACACATTTTTAGCATTGATGGATTAGAGTTAGGGTTGGATATACCTTATTTATTTTTCTTTCAGGCCACTTCTTACTTTTTACGTGGCGGGAAAATGCTCTTCTTCGGAGGAAAAGTAGATTCCGACTCCAGGTCCCGTCAGTCAAGGAAGGATGTTTTAAGTTATGATACTGTGAATAAAGTGTGGATGCCTCCCATAAAAAAGCTTCTAAGCTCCTCAAAAAAGTACAAAAAACTGACTTTAGAACAAATGGATTTCAGTGAAGAGTGTTGTTATGCCCTGTTCAAAGGAGAGACGGAGAAAAATGAGATTGTTTACTATATAGATGAAGTCAGCTTGGACGGACTGAATCCGGGAACTAAACCGTCCACAAGTTTTCTCTCCAACCTACCCAGCTTGTTCAAGGACGGTTTCAGTTTATGCTATGATCAGGGTTCGAATATTTATGTATGCGGAGGTCAGGGGTTTGCAAGATTTAACCTTGAAACTCAGTCCTGGGAGAAATTACAAAAACCTATCGGAGATCTAGGAGAGGAGAAACCCTGGTTGTCTGGAGTACAATCTAGTATATTCTTACTCTCAGGCAAACCTAAATCTGGAGATTCATCCCTTACAAATCATCTACAGGTTGGTTTAACAGGGTATTTTTTTAAACAAAATTCTCATCTAACCTCGCAAAAATTGTCTAATATGATGAAGATTTCCGTTATAATCAACCATCGCGCTATTACAAAAACCAGGGTTTATACTTTCTTGTAAATTTCTTGAATTTTGATCATTACTTTTTAAAAGTATTTTACAGGTTTGAAAAACGTTGCGCCTGAACAAAATCAGTCCGAACTTTATGTAAACTTTGAGTATGATGATCTTTGGACAGCAGCGGGGAGTCGTAGAGAAAGGAAACAGGACCCACACGACCACACTGCACAGGAGTGCACAGTGGGCCACCCCTAGTTGCCATACTCACCCTAAAATATGTGCAAAGGGGAGAAGGGCTAGGGGGATCGGTACACCAGCCTGGACTGACCGATAATCTTAATCTTTGGTTTACTCCATGTTTATTTCAGATGATTCATATAGACCTGCTTAGTTGGAGATTAATCTTAATCTTAATCTCCGGTTTACTCCATGTTTATCTCAGATGTTTGATGTAGACCTGCTTAGTTGGAGATTAATCTTAATCTTAATCTCCGGTTTACTCCATGTTTATCTCAGATTTTTGATGTAGACCTGCTTAGCTGAAGATTAATCTGTAATCTTAATCTCCGGTTTACTCCATCCTTTCTTGGTCTTCACAATAATAATTTAATTCTTGCTGGCTGGTGTCCGGCTAGGTAAATATTTACCTCTATTTTTAATCTTAATCTTAATTTCATAAATTAAAAAAAATAAAAAAACATCTATATATAATGCTACAAGCTCGTTTCAGAAAAGGCTTGTCAACTAAAGTTAAGGTCGCCATTCATTTAAAGATTAAAACTCGTAGATTCACAGCGTTGGACTAAATGTTTTATAAAACTTCCTCAAACCGAGAGAAACCTCCGTTTTTCCAACTAAAAATGGATATTATGCCGCCTCATTTTCAAGTATTTTTTTATTCCTGAATGAAAATGTTTATTTAAGTCATAACACATTTAAAATGGCTTTTTTGTCAATTGTATTTAGCATTTGTTACATACAATATCATGTTTCTTTGAATATTTTTAAAGCGTGTTTTTTGAAAATTATTTATCTTACATTTAGAAGGAAACTTCGCACTTGACAGCTCACTAAACTTGTGGAATTAACGTCCCTCATAGGTTATTTAGTTATTTGGTGAATTAATCTCTAGACCCCAATTAGGGGGTATATTGAGAATATCTGCGAGTCTATAGATTCACTGAGTAATTATTTATATCACTATTTTTACTCAAACAATGTCTCCAGCATATCGTTGGTAAATGTTTTAAAACATTTTAGGATTTTTAGCGTTTTTAACTTCTCCCGGCAAACTGTTCCATAGATTCAATTCTCTGATTAAAAAAAATTAACTCATAGGGTCCGGTGTAGCGTTAGATTGTCTCCCCTTTAAATTTGGCCCCTGCCCAATTTAGGGAAACTTTTAGAGGACATCACCATTTTTTGTATTAACATTTAAAGAATAAATAAATATTAAATAGTTGACTTTGTTTAAGATTTTTTGTGGACCAATTACTTTTTTATTTTCATGATTTCAATTAGTGTGGTTGAGTGAGATGGACCAATTACTCCCCGGGACACTGTAGTCTGTACTTAACTGTTTACTTAACAAAACGACTGGAATAGAGTAAATTATTCTCATTCTAAAACTGCCGAATATTAAAAGCATTTATGTTTTAGGAAAAATTTTCTTTTGACTGTGAAGCAGGATAGCGGAGAAATAAGTTTACTTATATCCGGGATAGATGGAGTTTTCTCTCCGGGTCTCATTCTACATCAGGATCAGGTTCCACACTTGGTCCTGTGAAGATGTGTTCATCTCTGGTTATCTCAGATTCTCCTGATCAGGTTCCACACCTGGTCCTGTGAAGATGTGTTCATCTCTGGGTATCTCAGATTCTCCTGATCAGGTTCCACACCTGGTCCTGTGAAGATGTGTTCACTGTTCATCTCTGGATATCTCAGATTCTCCTGAATAATGATGAATTAAGCGAAGCACATCTATTGTTATAAATCTTTTTACTTCTTTTTTTTACATAGATACTTGATGCATAATTCTGTGATATTAACTTGCATTATAATATAAATTACTGACAAAAAATATATTATTGTTGTTATTTTGTTTCAGACAAATGAAAAATATGGAATTTTAAGACATTAATCAATCAGAAACAAAAATGTCTGGTTTCCGAAGAGATATAGAAGATGGTTTCTATGTTCCGCGCTCTGCTAGTCAAGAAATAGAATGGAATGAATCCAGCGACGGATCTGATGAGGATGAAGCAATTATAATACGACGGTTGAACACACCTTTACGAAAACAAGCTTTTAAAAAGAATTCATCTGTTCAGGGGAGAAATGTTCTTTCTAGTGGACGCAGATCCACCAAGGTGGACCTTAATCCTAGGTCATTGAAATATTCAGAATCCAACCCAAGTTCCTCCTACGGGTTCAAAAAAGATGCACTCCCGAACCATGAAAAATCATTATCCATTAAACCTCTTCTCTGTGGTGAACCCATACAAAATATTGAAACAGAACTTGAACTTATTAATGAATCCAATGCTTCCAACTCTCCCCCATCCCCCATCATCACCAAATCCATCAAGAAATTGTCTTCATCGAAGCATTGTCTGAACAGGCCATTTTCAAATATTCCGTCCTCTCCTATTCTCTCCCGTCTGTCTACTGAAACCCCGGCACCGAGTTTCAAACTAGATGATCCTGTTACATCTCCAATACTAAGATCATGTCGAAGATCTAGAAATCCTGTTGGTAAGAGAAAACTGTTCCAGTACACAAGTTCCATCGACTCTAGTTCTGATTCGGAAACCATAAACCGGTCGGATAAGAGAAGGTTCAACACCCCGGAAAAGAATGTGATCGCAATAATCCCGACTTCTCCATCCCCCCCGGCCTCTCAGAAAATTGAAACAGACGAGGAGTTTGATACTCCATGCTTAACGGAGAAGAACAAGACTCCTAATATTTACAGGTCTAGGTTTAGTACAGTTTATTGGAATTTAACCTACAGGGTGTCCTACGAAACATGATAGTAGCAAGACGAAGTAAAGGTTGTATTTAATCTTTGAAATACTTTGCGGCATATATTCATAAACCTAATTATAAAAGTAAAATTTTGAAGTCAATAATTACAAAATACCCCTAGTCTTGGAAATTCCAAAATGTGGTCTGTTTTTTTGTGCTTTCAGTACTACCGGACAGGGGCGGGGGGAAATTCGCCCCCCCCCCCTGAGATTTCGAGGCAAAAAATGTTCCCAATTTGATAAATGTTATTGTTAACGATAAATTTAGAATTATAAATTTGTAAGAAACTAGACTTAAGTTATAATAATGTTCATATCTAGTAATGTTCCTTTATCAAAATTGTAATATTGTTCCTAATTTTCATGCATTTAAGTATAACTAGTAATTTCTTTTTGTTCTTAAATTGCTTATGTTCCTACTATTGTTCCTAATACTGTGTCCGACCCACCTTAAATCCCTGTCCTAATCCTATATTTTTGTTCCTAATTCCTGAGCAATCTTTTTATTGTTCCTAAATCCCTGTCCTAATCCTTTATTTTTGTTCCTCATTCCTGAACAATCTTTTAATTGTTCCTAAATTCCTGTCCTAATCCTTTATTTTTGTTCCTAATTCCTGAACAATGTTTTAATTTTTCCTAAATTCCTCTTCTAATCCTTTAATTTTGTTCCTAAAATTTAAAAATCTAGTTTTTTAGTCTTTAGTCATGAATTTTGACTCTTTTTGAGTCTTTTAAGTCAAAAAAAATTTTTCCCCTGCGGCACGATATTTTGTTCCTAATTATTAATTTTTTTGTTCCTAAAAAATCTTGCCCCCCCCCCCTCACTTAATTTCTGTATCCGCCCCTGCTACCTGAGATGCCAGGACAAGGAGCATTTTGTGTTTATTGTTACAAGAATCATACCTGTGAAAGTAAGTTGACGACTGAATTTCACAAATAAATAAAAAGTTCAAAGACAACTTTTAAGCCGTCTTGCTACTGTCATGTTTCGTGAGACACCCTGTATTCAATGAGCGCTGTTTGGGACAGGGATTTAAACGGAATAAAATAGGAAGATGGTTCTCGACAATTAAAATCTTGCTGGTTAGAGATTTCGAAAGAAAAAGTGATGGTAGCAATTATTTGTTTGAATCGGACAATTTATTTAAAGCTGCAAAGTATGTATCTAAATCTCTCTTCTTTGCGTCCACATGATTTTTTTGTCAAGTGCGTCCTTTCTTGTGCTTTTTCAAGAGTTTTTTCTTTGTACCTTCTTATTAGTGGACCCAAATAATTCAACTTTGTTTGAAACAATTAGATATGATGTAAATTTCCCATGAGTATTTGTGAGCAATAAACAAAAAATAGTATTTCTTTCAAACCGCTAGGGTTAAGTTCCAATGATGTGAACTGCTGAGTGCTGAACAATGTGTTTATATCTCTCAAATTTTAGATCTTTGTTAGATGACGAGGAATCAAATTTAGGGACTCCGTCAGGTTCTATTTACAGTGTCGAGTCAGGTTAAAATAATTTTAATAAAAAGTTTTGTGGTGAATGACGTCTTTTATTACTAGACCAATTTTTTTTAAAATCATTTTTTTTTCTCCAGAAGTTAGGTAAACATTTTTTTTTATAGTTTTATTCGCTGAAATTGGCAAAATAAATAATTTGTTAGAAGAAAATAAATAAATTTTTGCGCACAAACTTATTTTCCAAATTTTTTATTTTTATTTCCCCAGATCTTCAATAAATGACTTGGAATTTGTTTAATTAGATAAGTGAAGTCTTATTTCAATTTAATTATGGTTTAGGTGTATCTCCAATGTTGTGTACCCTATCTCCGATATCAGAATGCATTGGACGGTTTTCTGGTCAACCTCTTACTCCAGTAGAGCGTGACCTACTGGAGGAGATCAAGAAATCCAACAAGAAGAGGAAACCTGTGAAGCAAGGTCTAGCTATACAACTTGAGAAAACGATTAAGATGCGCCGATCAATGAGAGTAATTCAAGAACATGAGATGAACCTGCTCAACCTTAAAAACACTAAATATATGGAACTTAACGTCTCAAGGGTTGAAGTAATCGGAACAGTTGTCTCCGTTCAAGGAGTTCAAGACTCAGGAACCTTGTACAGATTCTATATTCATCTTGAGTTCTGCAATAAACCTGTAGCACCTGGATACAGGATCAGAATACTCAAACCCTTCACAGAGCTTAAAGTTGAGGATCAGAATATCTTAGTTGGCGTCAACGAGTGGGAGAATATTACTACCGGAGAACTAGAGAAGTCTGATAAACCACTCACAGAACCTAGCGATCCATCAAATACAGATCTGACGGAGAAAATTAGAAAACCTTTGTTTCACGACCTACGGTGTGAGTGCCAAAAAATAGAGGGTGATGAACATTTTTGTGATAGTTCTGAAGAATATGAAAATCTGGTGAGCTTTGAGAAATTGAGTGTCCAGTCTTTAAATCGGAGATTCAGCAGTGAAATAACGATCGAACCTCAAAGGAAAGGAAAAGAAAGGTCAGGTTTTTAGGTTTATTAGAAAGGTTAGGTTTATAGATTTATTAGAAAGGTTAGCTTTATAGGTTTATTAGAAAGGTTAGGTTTGTAGGTATATTAGAAAGGTTAGGTTTATAGGTTTATTATAAAGGTAAGGTTTATAGGTTTATGAGAAAGGTTAGGTTTATAGGTTTATTAGAAAGGTTAGGTTTATATGTTTATTAGAAAGGTTAGGTTTATAGGTTTATTGGAAAGGTTAGGTTTATAGGTTTACTAGAAAGGTTAGGTTTATAGGTTTATTAGAAAGGTTAGGTTTAAATGTTTATTAGAAAGGTTAGGTTTAAAGGTTTATTAGAAATGGCTTTTAGGCTTTTAGGTTAACTGCTATTTATTGTAAATGTTAAAATTTTATGATATTGCATTAGTTTTGCATCGATTAAAAAAAAAACAAGAAAACACAATTGTTTACAAAAATAACCTGTTTTTTCATTTTTCTACAAAACTTTTTAAAAATTTGTGATTGGTTCAGGACGGTAAATTCTGTGCTGGAGCTTGTGGATAGATTTGGAGTATCTAGCTCTTCTCCTCAGGCAGGAAGGTTAGAATACTAAATATCCGAGTAGGGTTCAGGGATTCAGATAGGTTCGGAGTATCAAGCTCTTCTCCTCAGGCAGGAAGGTTAGAATACTAAATATCCGAGTAGGGTTCAGGGATTCAGATAGGTTCGGAGTATC